GCAGGGCAGCATGCTACGTATTTGGACTTGCTCTATTTTCCAATATGCGGTGTAAGCAACAACATATCGAAACATTAACATACGTTCCGATTTATTAAAAAAAATCATACAAATAATTTTAGCAAAGCTCCATTGAAGCACGAAATTAATCATGTTTGATCTTCCTGATCCTTAAAGTTCAATGTACAGCAATTTATAAGTAAGAAATTTCATTGGTATTTGGTCCTGCGATGACAGAATTTGGGTAACTGATGTCTTCAACCTACTGTTGGCGCTGTGGTACCTGAAAAGATGAGCATAAAACTTGATTTGCTTTCGTCTTTCATCAGTGAAACCATTAAATCACCATCGCTTATTCCCTACAGTCTAGCGGGCGGAGCTTTGCTGACGTTCAACGTATACACGAGTTTTTGATAGTTAAAGAGTACAAAGCGCGATGCTTTAGAATGAAATCAACAAGTTCTTCAATGTATTCAAATTGGCGACCCGCTAAGCCAGCCCCTACCATAAACGCAAATGCTTCCATTGAAGATAGTTCCTTGAGCGCAAGCACAGCGACCTCTTAGACAACTTGATCCTCCAACGCATTGAGCTTGAACGCGGCAAGGCTGACCAGCAACAGCATGATTGAGACATTCACCGCCCACTTCGATCTGATTTCCTTGGCAACCTGAGTAATGCAAAAAGTTTATCTTCTTTTCTGATATAAAACTGACCTCGAGTGCAAACTCCTCTATTATTGGCTATATAGCCAATAGGGCACGATTGCGAGCACTGCGTTCCAGCAAAAACCTTCAACAAAAAGCTGTTGAAAGGTAAATTAGGTCAACATTGGCTTGAATTACCAATCCATTTGGACAACGACAAAAGCCACCGTCGCATGTCATTGTGTGCTCAACTGCCTGACACTGGGAAGAGTAGAAGCATAGCTCATTGGGATTGACAACTAAACAAAATATCATTTGTTTCCAAGCTGAAGGATGACGGAAGCTTTTCGGAAATGTCATAAGTTCATTTGCATGTCTTGTCAATTTTTCGCAAGCGTTGTTACAGTAAGCAAGGTCCTACTTAAAATTTGCAATTTAATACAGAGACGGTCTCAATGCCGCATACTTACAAACAGCTTGATCACTTCCTTAATCTAGGATGCAAAAGCGTACGGACTA